CTACTTTCAGAAGCAAATCTAGCACTTTTTATATTTCACATATCCAAGAAAGACAGAGGGGAGGGGGGGAGGAGGAAATCGAAGTGCTATCATGATTTTCGCATAATTAAAGCACTAGAGAGAAGGAATAACAACTGGTAAGAGCAAAAACTGGAGAGATACGAGTACCTGCTCTTTTATTGAACTCTTTGCCGAGTACAACAACTTTATCAGTGGATTCGAAGAGTGTGTTGTCTTGTAATTCCCAGAATGAGGGTTCGAATGTGAGGTACGAGTCCACCATGGTCGAGCCTCACAGAAAGTTAGACACCTGAAACAAAGAAAAAAGTTGAGAAAAAGGAAAAAAGGAAAGGGTCAGCATTCTCTAATATCTTCGAAGAACGCGGAATTCCATTCATATCCATTTGTGGTCATCGAGACATTTAATTGGGAGAGCCCGTTCATCCGAGTCATAACATGGATCACCTTACCGTGCGTTCATACCTCGCGATCGACGCTTGGAGTTCGCAGCGACCGCCGATCACTAGAGTGCGCTTCTTCATATACCAGAGATGGAGAGCCCGTGGCTGCACACTTCATTTAAACGCGGGGAAAATGCGCTCCCGGAGTGATATTGCAGTCCCAGAACAGTTGCAACCGCGACCCTTCTGTTGTTCACTACAAGAAAGAAAACAACTGAGCCATCAATATGCTTGCATCGACATAATCATGCCGCACAGCCAAACGCATCTTACGCATGTTCAGGTAAAGTACGTAGGCATGCCCACTCCTTCGCCGGGGATGCGCCGTGTATGAAGGCATGTATGCTCAACTCAGATCGATCGCTTGAAGAAGCCAGAGAGAATTGTTTAGATGACTAGTATCAGAGAACAATTACAGTGCCTTGCAAACTCTGGGATGGACCACCCTCTAGGACAGCCACGCCATCGTGACTACGTGAGAGGAAGCAGACGAACAGATATGACGTCACTTTGCTATCTGGAGAGCGGCTCTTTTGCCACACAGCTCTTGCCCACTTGACGCACTCCTGCTTGCGAAAACAGCTTTCTGAGAAACTCAGAGCTTGAAAAGATTAATCATTTCTGTTTTTTATATATTAGTGTTCTTACTATCTTTTAGAAGAGGCTATTGTCGACAAACTGACCATGGAAGGACAATAGGTTTGGATAGTTTCTAGGGATTCGACCTCATGAATAATATAGCGATTTGCACCTTTGCAATTAATTTATCTCTACGCTATTTACGCAATGATTTCTAGCTGACTGCGCTTTTCAAAAGTGTTACGGCAAGCATCCGAGAATTACAGTACCATGGACCAATTAAGAATTCATTTATGTAAGAGCTTAATGAGTCAATATTTAGATTTTGAAACAATTTCCGCGCGGCACAACTTCCTAGTGTTCTGACAACATTTCTTCTATGGAAGCTGAGAGCGCGTTTCGACCCCAACTACAAGCATTTCACCCTGTGAAGCAGGAACATTCTTAAATAAAAGCGAGAAAAAAATTTTCTGGTTGGGAAGAGACCCTGACTTAACAGTACCGGCATCAGGTACAGTGAATGATTTTAAGATTTTTTGTGTTGTTATCGACATAAGAGCATGTGCAATAGAATCGATGAAAAGGCACATATCACAAGACTGAAATAGTTTAAAAATTCAGATAAACAGCTGATAACGAGTGGCGCTTCCTGTGAATGCGGTCACGTCGCGTTCGTCGAACTAGAGCGCGTCAGCTCATGTTTCCGGACCAATAATTATGCGAGGACAGACATAAGAATCGAGAAAGATTAGTTCGAGGGTGAAACGCGGTGGCGTGACTAATGAGGTGGAGGGAATCACTCAGCCGCCTTAGTCTTCCCCAGAAAAGCCCAGGCTTAGAGCGCACACGACCAGAGTCGCCGAGGGATAGCCTCGCAGAGAGTACACGATCCCCACTGAGATTAAGCTTTCATTGGGGAAGGGACACACAGAGATGCTGCCCCACCTCCTCTCAACCACGCTAGAGCAAAACCGGTTTTCTTTAATTGCTATTAACTTGGCCCCCATTAGCCAGCTATTCATGCGATGGTGTTTTTTCTAATTAAGCGGACAAGAAGTTTTCGATGTAACGCCTATAATGTAAAGGACAAACAGTAAATGCTAAAGTAGCGTCTGGGCTTTACTTGTGTAGATGCATAAAAAATGCATAAAAAATATAGCCCCGAATGTTCGTTCGAACTACTAGATGCAGGCCCTCTTACTAAACGGGAATCCATGATGCATGATTTTCCTTATATTACTAATTCCCCTCAGCAATACAATGAACAAGAGAATGGCGACATAGAAAATGCAAGGGCAATATGGGCAATAGGGTGTGGCGTTGTGCAGAATAGCTCTCGTCGGATTACGTAATTCCAACATTGCCAGGTTTTTTGAAGTTTCGATTTTGCCGATCTTCAATTCCACGCGCGTTCTCTTCACAGACTCTTTTATATCATCTGAATGGTTAGGTGAAAGTACAAATGAACAGCTGCGAGCCAAGGATGAGGATTTTGCTCAAGACAAGGAGTTTCAACCTAGAGGGGTTTTATCATTTACATGGTTCCCGTAGTGTCGTTAGTTACCCTATCTATACAATACGTTTAAGAATGCAAGCTAGAAAACGCGAAGGCAACCCTTCAATATGTGGCGCATTTCGGTGCAATAGTTCGTCGGATTACGGTAGTCGCAACATTGCACACTGTGTTTTTTCAAAACCACTACGTACGGACTTCACTTCCACGCTTTTTCATTAAGCTTTCGTTTGTAGTGGACGGTTAGTGTTAGTGCTAATTAGGTGCGAATGAACAGCTGCGAAGCCAGTGCGCGTTTTCGCCCAAGACTAGGAGGAACTAGGTCTTTCTTATTTGGCGTGGAGTTCCACATCCCGGAAAATATCCTGCTCGAAACCGGGTTAGTATTACCTTTTCTGAAAATATTGGGGAACCGTTTGCCGTCTCTTCAGACCTTGGGTGGTCTGTACTGAAATTCATCACCGAGCTTCAATGGCGCTTTTTTCCATTCTTTCAATTCATTTGACTGCCACTTTAAGGTATCGATGTTGCGTACAGTAGTTTAAAGGCTAAGGCAAGATTCTGATCTATTGCAAGTTTATCCAGGAATTCAGGGAATGATGATGAAATGGGAACTCCATTCTGGTGTGTACTGTGCAATTGTTGATGGCTCGTTGATGGAAATTGGAGAAAAGTTCACAGATGAAGAATTGCTTCCTTTCCTTCCACTTCTTGCAAGCTGTCTTGCCCATCCGTCTCCCAGTGCGTCGGTAAGCTAGCTGAATATTCGTAATTTCAGATGGAAGCTTTTATGGTATCTACTAGTTTAGAAAGTGTTCCTCTCAAAGATTTGCTCCCTTGCAATCAAAAGTGGTCTCATGCCGTATCTCACATTGGACTACACAAGTCTCGAGAGCGATATTATTTTCGTGTCGAAAGCAGGCGGAAGTGATGGTTTTGCAAATCTTGATCCAGCTCAGAAGTTGACAACATTATGTCAAGCTCTCCAAAAGGGTAAGTGAATAATCTGCATTTAGGACTCCTCTATGAGCACATTCCGCGACAATTCAAAAGGCGGAGACAGAGAGCTGTATTCCATCCTACTCCCCTTCTGGCCCGACTAAGCAGCGTTCAGATTTTGCGATGACGCGCGTCGGCGCGCTGTAACATGCTGCAGCGCGCGTCGACGCGCTTGCAATAGCGCTTCCAAACACTGCCTTCACCCAGTCTGGTTTTCCCCCCGTTCTTGTATGCTCTCCCGAAGCTCTACCGGACAGTGGCGATTAATGCCAGACATGCGTAGTTGGGCATCACGTATCCTCCTGTTCTAAAACACTCTCTCAATAGCAAGTGGCCGGCGCCGATCGATTCCCTTCTACGGCTGCGTTCTCTATAGGATTAGAGCGCTGTTGCAATGGTACCGCGTCGACGCGAATTTTAGCGCATAGAGCGAGGGGACGCGATTCATCGCGAATGTGGACGCTCCTTAAGATGAAGAGCATGCCAGTGACGTGGTTCTCTGTTGCAGTCTTCGCGAGAAGTGGCTTTGATGGCCGAAATCTTTGATTGTGGGATTTATTTTCACGAATTCAAGAACCCCCAGAAAAAAAGTCGTCCAAGTGCACTTTTAGTATATTTGGGCGGATCACTCCATTCCATGGAAATCAAAGGTTAAATTCAAGGATAGGATCCAGGGAGGTATTAATTGTGAGAGGAATTTGTGCACATTTTTCTCTCGGGGGGCGGGTAATTTCGCACTCTTCGCACTCCCACCCTTTCAGTAGTCCATGTATGACTTACTGGTGTGACCTATAAACTCTTGTGAGGCAAAAAGTGAACCACACTTGGCCTACAGTTATATAAAGGTCTCACAGGGTGGTCTTAACAGCCTTCGTGGTGGTCTTTACAGCCTTCGCTGAATACCACTTGTTGCCCACACGAAGTCGAACTGCGCCGAAATTTGTGAAGACATCGCTAATATTAGAATGTGATATAAAAAATAAGCAACAGTAATGCCTTAGAGGAGAAATTGCAGAAAGAAAAGGATAGAAATTGTGTAGGTTTTTATCTTCATTTGTACGCATTCTCAATTCAAGCAGTAATCAAAAGGTTTATATACCGTGTAGACATGAACATGAACAATTTCCAAATCAAATTTCCAAATCTTGACACGAACAATTTCCAATCAAAGTGAAGGTTTTCGAGACAATGCGAACAGGTTTCGGATGATATAGAGTTTGGTTCGCTGCAGATGAAGGGGCGTGTCCGGCGAGATGGTTTCGGCGCGACGTCTAGCTCGTTTTCCACTAGTTGTTGAAGCGAGCAAGCGGCGGATTCGTAGTATCGTTCGCATCTGTCGTTTTCGTTGAATTGTTGTCGCTTACCCCCTTCAGCAAGTGGTAGAGAATGTGTTCGGCGCCACGCCAATCCATTCCGCAGGGCGCACCCTTCCATTCACAGCGAACGAGGCTACATGTAAGGTGAATGCGGGACTAAACTTGAAACGTGCCAGTTTCAAGGAAAGTGTCCGGTTTGATTTGAAAACCGTCTGGCTTGGTTAGCAATTTGATTGGAAAAACGTCAGTTTAGTTCAGAAAACTTTCCATTTATTTGAAAGTACCCATTCGGACAGAGTAGAAAGGTATATAACCATTCAGATGATTCCTCCAATCCAGAAGAGTGGCTACTGCCGTGCTTGTGCGAGGATAATATCGAGGAGCTAGGATGGTTGTTATCGTTGATACTGCTTCATATGCCCACTATTATTTCTATCGAAGAATTGGCATCGAAACTGCTTTGCTTGAAAGATGGATCCGATCTTTTAACTCAGGTTTGAACTGGTTTCAGTTAAGCTTTTTCTCAACTTTCTGACAAGAAAGTCCGAATTTGCTTCACACTTGCTTCACAGGTTGTGGCAAACGTGTCCGAAATGTATCTCCCCCTGGTTACACATCTATTTGACATGGCTCCTGCTGATCAGGTTGTTTCAGCGGCTCGCCTAACAACTATCACCAATGTCAGTAACACCTCTGGCCTCTTATTACTTACTTGTACTTTTACATCACTGCCTTGCATTGCATTTCAGCTTGTCGCACTGAATCCTCCACTGTCACACTCAATTCTTGATAGAATGGCAGAGATGCGCAAGGAATGTATGTTTGCTACTCGAGTCGTCTGTGAGCGGCTTGATGACAAAGCGGTAACTGCTCTAACTACTATTCCAAAGCGATTCAGTGGAAATGTTTACTGATTGTCAACATTTTCAGTATGCCCTACTCACGCGTCGGGGGGGGGGTAATCCGTCGCGGCGTGCTGGATCCAAATTGCGGTCGTGGCGTAGTGGTGTTTGTGTATAGCCAAGTGGAGCCACTTCTCCCTGTCCGGTAGTCAGATCGGAGATCACGTCATGTCTGGGCCAGTAATGCCTTTTATCACCCCGAGCTCGCTTGATTGCTACCAGACTTCTTTCGTGGAATGGACTTACTTGAAGATACGTGGCCCATCTAGTCGTATATGTAGACGAATCGTAAACAAACTTCAAGATGGTACACAAGTTATGACTGGCAATAGAATGCATGGCGCACGTAAAAGGGATAGGTAGAATAACCTCTGAGTTTCTTCGGTTCAGGGATGGGTACGATTTTTAAGGGGAGGTGGTGTAATGGCAAGTGGCACGCCTTCTAGTTCATGGGTCAAATCCTGGGTCGGAAATTCTGAAACTCGAACTTTCGGGTCAAAAATACTTTGCTATCTCTGATGTAGGGTACAAAACCCTTATCCCCACTGTTTTCTGTTAACTTTTTACCGTTCTGGGAAACAGATGGAGGCGGAGGTGGTGTAGTGACAAGTGACGCGCTTATCGCGCGCACGGTCCAGGAGGGATCGAATCCTGGATCGGCTCCCGCCCAGATCCAACCAAGCCCTCTACCCTAGGGGGACGGTAATTGGTACCAAATTCGTCTGACAGTGTACGGAACTATAGATGTTTAGGCCCCTGCAAACCAATTGTATAGGCCACATCGCATTCAATAAGCCACTACGATTCTGAATGGAAGTAGAATGCGTGCCGCATCCCACAAAGGGATTGATCAACGGCGAAGACTTTATCCTTTATCCTTTTATCCCTATGTTTTTTTTGTATTGAATTGCTTTGATTCTTAGATTTTAAACTAATTCGAGAAAGACTGGTTGAATCCGAGTGAATCCTTTTTCTTAATAACGTTTGGGGTGTGAAAAACCAACGCACAAGCTTTGACGGGCAGCAGAAGTTAACTGCCTTTTTCGGACAGTTTTCCATTTGTAGGTTTGCTATTTTCTGAGAACTCATCTGCTCGATCGAAAAGGACTGGTCTCTGCAATGATCGGCAAGAGCGCTACTAAGCACACAGCTGCTGTTGTTCTGAATCGTTTATTGTCGATGATCTCTTCTGCAGTCAGCAAGTAAGTTAAGCGCTTGCTATTTCAAAACAAAATGCATAAAGCATCAGAGCGTCAGATGAGGGATAATCAGTGAAGTTTGGATTTGTAGGGGCACCGAAATGGGTACTCCGGCCTAAGTTTGTACAGGCCTTTCTGTGAAGTAGATTTTGTGGCCAAATGGCTCAATCCGAACCATTTCGCAGCTTGGCAGGAGTTTACGGGTCTCACCAAAGGGATATCTGTTATTGAACAAAACAAACCAGAGAGTGCAGAATGCCCTTCAAGCCGAACAACGCCGGGATATCCTTATTTTCATTGTGTCTTGAGCCACTTGGATGATGGCACTCTGAGTGCACTGATAAGGTTGTAGATGCTCAAAGCTATGGGGGTATCCCATTTCTTCATAAAATACGATTGTTGAAGGCAGTCAACTGAGCCTATGCTGGATCTACTTGTTCTCGATAATTTGTCTGTATCATCGTTGCGGATTGAAGCTACCACCATCGGACCTCACTACAATAACAAGTTTCATCTGTCGACGTCATATCCCTTGCGATGGCTATCTCACCGCAGCTTTAGCTGCGCTCATTGCAACTCCGACGCTTACATTGTGAGTTCTTTCTTCTTCAACTTGAGATTATTCTTGCGAAATTTATTTGAACCAATTTCAGCTCCATGAGTGTTCCTGTAGCGCTGAGCTACCAGGTAGAACCCCATATTTCCATTTGGTTCGAGTGGTTGCGAAACGAGACTGAAAAAGGTTCTCGACAAGCGCTTGCAAGGGATCTGCTTTATGTTGGACTAGGCATCGTTGCCGGACGCTCAGATGCTATTTGCTCCTACTTTCGCGGAAACTCTTCGGTTGCAGAAGGTGAGCTTCACTCACTTACATTTACAGTTTTGTTCGGTGCGGATGATGGGTGTGGCCGGAGGGATGGGTTTGGCGCGGCGCGAAACCTATTTTCCACCACTTGTTGGAACGAGTAGCGACAACTTTTGGTGCAAATGGACTGATACGAACGATGATAGTCTTGTCGCTTGCTCGCTTCAACAACTACAGGAAAACAGGTCTGGCAACGCGCCAAAGCTATGCCGCCGGCTACGCCCCATCATCCGCAGGGAACACACCTATATCGTTACTATTTAACTTTATGCATTTTGTTTGGAAGATTTTGCGAGGATGAGGTGGTTTTGTATGAGAAAATATTCTCAAATTAAGGTGTCCATTCATCAGCGGCATATGGAGCAGTGGAAAACTCTTTTTACGAACTCGTGCCTTTCTGAAGCGGATGTCACTGCGAGGTCGTAACTTTCGAGAGTTGTTTTTTGTTGACATATTTGTTTATTGCCATGTTATTTGTTATCCTCCATATTTTTATCGATACTGTTTCAGATGTGCAACGTTGCCAATAACCCCATCTCTGTCGTCATCTTCTGGAAACAGATTGCCTATTCATGCTATGGCGGAGTTAATGTCAGCAAATGCATTCACGAAACACAATGTTGACATAAGTGTAAGGATTTGTTGACCTCTCAGGATATTGTATCGATGTCCCATTCCATTCTCAGTCCCGTTAATTTTTCAGGCCTGGATGCAAAATCAACTCTTGGAACTGTCGTTGCCGATGCACCCACAGCTACCTGAACTGACCTTGCGCGTTGCTATAGAATCAGCACAGAAAAATCTTTCTGGGTTGTCGAATGAATTTGTTGAGGTCAGCTCACTGCTATATATTTTCTTATTCGTATTTTTTCAGCAAGCTGGATGCAATGTGCATCAGTTTCAATGCACAGTTTCCAACCTTCATTTTCCGCTTGTTCAATTTCATTTTAATCTTTCAATGCACACCTTCTAGATTCGTTTTTCCTCGTTAATCGCGCGTTTACAGCAAGGTTACTATCCAGGGAAGGGTTAAAGAATGTCTCAGAATGAAAAGGTAGGATCTAGCCGGGTTGGCTGTTTCATGTGTTGGAGGTAGCTCCTTGATGGGGGGGGGAGTGAGGAGGCAGTCCTCCGCGCAAGGTGGATTAATATACAGATTATATAAAACTGAAGTAAGGGCATTCTTTCCAGCTATCTAGGCAGCGAAACATTGCTATATTAAATCTCGAGTTTTTAAAATCCATTTTCGGAGTGCCACCCTCTAGTTCAACATTCAGATTGTTACTGGCAAAAATGTTGAAATTGTTGGCCGGGGTTTTTAAACATTACATTTTTATGGATTGAAATACTGAGTTGCGTCTCCCTCAACTCCTGGCGTTCAGTGTTAATGGATAAGTATGAGCGTTCAAAACGAGATTTTCAGAGTGTGTTCTCCGGTGATCTTCTCGATGAATCCAAGCTTGCTGTTCGAGGTCCTTGTTTTGCTTTACCTCCTCTGCTATAAAACAAGAGTAGATGCTGCTAGAAGCACAGGGGTAGGTTTTTGTCTCTTTTCTATCGCAGAGTGTAGGAATCTAGTGCGAATTTTAGATTTACACAAACGATGTCTACATGCGTCTTCCTATTCGTTATTTGTTAAGTGTTATGGAAGTTCGATATGACGATTTCGCCAAGGCAAGAAGTCACGTAGTGAGTCTTTTGGTTCTATTTTTATGAGATCAAGGGTGGAGTGTTGTCCTTTGGCAGTTCCACTTGTCCTCAAAGCTCAATATTTTCGTTTTATTAAAACCGTTCATTTCCTACGAATTCCCACTGTAATTTTTTCTTTTATATGAATTATTTTAGATTCGCTTTGCAACTGATCTTTTCCACACATGTTGCCGACAGTTGACAGCTTAACAATTGCCAATTCACACTGCATAGGTGTCCACATTAAGGAGGAAAATGTAGGTCAACAGATTCCAAGGGAACTCGTCCAAGTATTCATGTCGTAATCTGCTTCAGGAGAACTTCGGTGAGCTCCTATGTTCCTCAGATTTTGCGGTAGCTATGAAGACTGCTCACCGTCTCGATGCAGCTCCTCTTACTGACCAGGTGAGTCTCTTGTGTAAAACCTCCTTCATCATTCACTCATATGGGTGCTCCGTGCCTGGGGTCAGACGCAGTGGTTTCAGTTGATTCAACATAGCGGTGGTGCGATTCAAAGCTTTTCTTGTGCAATGACTTCAGTTGTCGTGGTCCATTCCCGTCTGGTCATAGGGTGCAAACAAGTGCATACGTTCGCTACTTCTGCAATTTGTGAAGCGTGGGTGATGTAACAAGTGACGCTGCTTTATACGCGCATGGTTCTTAGATTGACTGGATTGCCCTCCGCTTGGGCCAACAGCAACCATAGAGACATGGGCTGCAACGTGGTACCATTGCCGTCTGTGTTTATGAAACGCGGTGGCGCCCTTATTTTACAGGCCAAATTGCTTTGAAAACAGCACCCGTAATCCGGTTGGATATGGAATGTGTGGCGATTTTTAGAAAGGGATTGATCAGTGCTCTAAGCACTACTTTTTTTACACCTAAATGATTTCAGGTCCGGTTGATTCCCAGTCTAGCCCGAGCTTTCTTGTATTCTCTCGATTCTATTCCCCATTCGTATATTGAAATAATAACTGGTATTTGGAGCAGACTCGAGAATGTTGTTCCGCGTATGCTGTATGAGGTTGGTCAGGTTCAAATATTGCACTTCTATCATATAGTAGCGGTCATTTTAGTACTGCACGTCAAGTTGGTCGTCTTCCGTCACTCCTGCCCAGTGCTACAGGCACCCTTGTCTCTTGTTCAGATGTGACAGGTAATCACTTTGACTTTGATTGCTATAAAACTGGTAGTTTATCTAATGCAGCGCATTCTTCAGGCGTATTTTCTCGTCGCCAGCCCACTTCGCTTGTTTTCTGAGGATGGTTTCATTTTACGACCAAGCTTGTCGCATACAGCTCATGTCACAAGTGCAGAATTCATCATCGACGAAGAGTAAGAGAAATGTTCTGCCACCTCCCAATTAAATCCCTGATTTTTGGTTTTTTTGTGGCTCGAAGACAGTGGGGATTTTGCAGTGAAGAGGATCGCGCTTCACGGGATGTTCTAGCCCATGCGTTTGATCATTCTCAAACTTCGGTTCTAGTTCAAGTTTTGATTGAAGTCAGTGACGCAAGGAGGATGAACGATGGTAGTGTCATTTAGATTTTTGGGATGCCCTTAAGAACCTCTTTGTTATATTTTTCAAATTTCAGATCCACGGAACAGCAGTGCAATAGCACGCCGATGCGAAGTAAGAAAGCTGGCCTGTGAATTCATCCATCAGATGTTTATTCAAGACAAGAACTTGATGAAGCTGGTTCTTTTCCAGGTACAGTTATTTGTTTTCTAGTTTTTTTTTTCCTCATTGAGGCCTTATAAGGTGTGGAGCAATGAGTGTGAGTGGTGCAATAGTTGCAGGGGAGGGGGAGGGGCTTGTGAAAAGAGGCCGAGCCCAATCGCATTCCTTGCCCGAATTTTGGCAGAGTCCGAGGGGAGGAAGGAAAGACCATTTCGCTGGGATGACAAGCAGACTCATACACGTTCCCTGATACTGCTCAATCACAGTAGCGCCGAGTATAGTGCTGTTTTTGCATGTTTACCGGTTACATTTGACTGAGATAATATCCAGAAATATATAACAAGACAATCGGAACGATTGATATGATAGTCGCTCGTCGGACATAACCGAATCCATCGTTCGTAGCGACGAGTACATTTCAAGGAAATGACTGGCCTACCCTGGACAATGAAAAGACGAATCTTTGCAGTTAAATGCCTTCATGGCTGAGTCGGGTCGAAAGATGAGTTGTGGAAAGGAGATTTGTGGAGGTTTTGTCAACGAACGATCTCGTCAACGAACGATCTGTGGGCGTGACCTCCAAGTTGCAAGTGCGACGAAATTGGCGTTGCTAGCGGGATGACGACCAGGGCCCGTCGTAGAAGGGAATCTCCAGCGAGGAGAGTTGTATTTGGTCGCTGGAGGGAGGATCATCGTAGTTGCTTTTGTGAGAAATGTGATTGTTTGTTGACTTTCAGTGTTTTCCAGTCCTCCCTTTCACGTGCGCTGCATACCCCATTCCGCTACATTTTTTGGGGAAGATTGGGGAGACCCGAAAAAGTGGCAGGAAGTCGAGAATTTCCGTAGATATTTGCAGGGATGGGGGATGTGGAAGCGGGGGAATCGTAGAAAAGAACATTGAAGATGAGAGGTGTCCTAGTTTGCAAAATGTTCCTCAACGGCCGGACGTGCCCTGGTGACGTAGGCAGAATTCGCATCGAGACCGAACCCACTCAATGTAGCAGTGCTGCGGGGTTCGACCCTCTCTTTCCGTCTGCGTCTCTCAGGTCAACTAGCTCTTTCTGTGCATGTGTCTGTCTAGCCACTTCGCTAGAAAATGCCACGTCAGTGCGCGCGATGTCGCGATCTGAAAGTAAAGCAGCACACCCTTGAGAACCCTGGTCCAATCTCTCGTTAGTGGTTTCCTTTATAGATCTGTCACTGAGATGCACAAGAGCCCATCAAGTTTTTGATCATTTGCCAACAATTCAATAAAATCATTCAGTATCGACTGCCTGAATCAGCTGTTTCATTGAACTTGGTCATTGATACCCTGAACAGCCTGCTGAAGTTCACTCAAATGCCAGGAAACCACGCCCTTTTCACTGCCATAACGCCATCATTAGGACATATTGTACCAGTAAGTTCGAATTATCATTTACATCTACAAAGTATATAGAAACCAGTTTGTATTTTAGGTCTTCCCACAACTTGCACCTTTGGTATCCGCACTTATGCTACGGATCTCTTCTGTAACTCGTGCACAACTGGCGATGAACTGCCTGGATGCTCGCCCTCAAGGCAGTCGTGAGCGGCGACTCGCTAATACTGTCGAACGGGTTCTCAGCTCACGAGTATTTATCACGGATTGAATTTTGCTGACGTCACTGCTGAAGAAATCCACATGATCTCTATGTAAAACCGGTAGTACCATTTTGTGACACCAACCACGGCTGTAT